CCCCCCCCCTCTCTTCTTCTTTTTGCCTGTTGCAGTAAATAAATTTTTCTTTTTTTCTTTTTAACAAGGTTTGTATCATTCATGAAGATATCCTCGATATTGGAACCTTAAGAAAACACTAATTGTCAGAATTCAAACGTTCGAATCACAAACTGGTCCAAACATGGCCCAAACGAAAACTTTCTCAATTAAATCACATTTCTGTAGCCACGTAACCTGTCACTTCTAATCTGCCAAATTCACGAATTTCGTTCGCAAAGAAGGGATTGTTTGACTCTGTTTGAGCATGTTTTGACCACGTTTCCAATCGTTTCTGTCGACAGTGTCAGAGTTCGCTCAGGAGCTGGGCGCAGCGATGGAGAACCACTCCGTCAACGTACGACGTCTGGTCGACGAGTTTCGCAGCCGATCCGGGGACACCAGAGTCGATTCCGGCGGGATGCGTCGAGTTTGGGAGAGTTTGCTGCGTCAGGTGCAGTCGGACGCGGAGGCTCATTTAGATTTGGCCGCGGTTCTTCAGCAGCAGCTGTCCAGACCCACCTTGGAGGCCAGCTTCCATCGCAAACTCCAGTCGAGAAAGGTGATTCATTTCTTCTTCTGATCCTCTCGCCCTCCCCTGAAAATCGTCGTAGCCCTTCGACCATTCGAGGCCAAGGGAATTTGTCCAAACCCACGGCAAGTCCCTCTGACTTCCGTGTGCAAAAGCGCCTTGGATTTGAGAAGGGACGTTGTTAGACGCACAGTCTAAATATAAGACAAGGCAGCTGAGTGTGTCTTTGACGGTTCCGATAATGCTGTATAGAGTTTTCTAAACGATGAAATTGCACGTGGGTGCGCTCTGCTTTATCCCTTTGAAGGCTGTGCCTCGAGAGTTCGATGAGATTTTCGTTGGAGCGTCAGGGGAGTTCCCTTTGAAGGCCGATAAAAATTTCTAATGGAACTCTCTTTGGGGCGCGTTCCTTGTACTCCCGGTGGTTTTGAAAATTGACGATCCGATGTAATTTCGGATAGCAGGCTTTCCGCGACAACCGAACGAAACCGACCAGCAACCGACAGTGAGGCAATCTGAATTTAATTTAAATCCGATTGAATGGCACATTCTCTGTTTAACAAGTGAGCCTAACGAGTAAGATTTGATTCTAGCCGAAGTGGAAGTCTAAATACAAACCCACGAGCTGACCCAAATTTTCCTCGGAATTCACTTGATCTGAATCTGATTGCAAGTCTGATCGTTCTTGCCACCGCCATCAAAGCGGATTTCTCAAATTCCAAATCGAAAGCAACCGTTGAGAAAGAAGAGAATCAAGTTTTCCAACTCGTCTGGATCAAAGCCACCTCCATTTTTGAGAATTCCGATTCAAAGCCAACAATTACCCTTGTAATTTCAAGGCTCATAATAGAAAAACAATTCTAATAAACCTTTTGCACTCCAACATTTTTTCTCAAGTTCGATTTTTTTTCGGATTCTAGTAAATGTTTACTTGAAAGTTAAAAATGTTGATCACTTCCTATTAAAATCATGTTTGACCTGGAATTTAATTTAAAATCAATAAAATCAGTTTTTTCTTATATTTTGATGTTTCATTAAAGAAAACAGATGGGAAGAAAGTCTCTTGCTTTTTTTACGTTTTGGTAGAATAATGTCACTGTCATTGATGTCTCAAAACAATCCAAATTATTTTTACACTGATCAAGAGCAAACTCATCATCGCTACTATCTTCAAATAACTCACTATCTGTTACATTTTTTGACACGACGTTTAACGGGATACTTTTTGATTTGCTCAGTTAGAGAAACGACAGAATACTTACTGACTGACGAAATATTTTTATCACCCTCGGAGGGCAAAAGGTTCTGAGCTGACGCTCCTTTCAAAGAAACTTCAAAAATTAAACAAGAAAGAAAATGATTTCAATGTTCCTGAGAGTTCTAAAAAAAGCAACCACGACACATTCCAGGTGTTCACGCATCGGGAGGCCTACGAACAGGTGGTAACGAAAACCGAGGAGAAGCTGCAACGTGCCCGCGTTGATTACAAGCGCGCGTACGCCGCGCTGTTGACGACAGATGGCGGGAGCGAGCAGGAGCTGAAGCGCGCCTATTTCGAGGCGCACAACGCGTACGTTCTTCAGTTGAGAGCCACGAATGCCATCACGGAACGTTACCAGTCGCGATGCTTGCCCGGCCTGCTCGGCGAGATCGCGGAAGTGTACGAGGAGCTATGCGGATTGGCTTGCAAGTGCGTGGCCGGGATATCGAAGGCGGCCGCGGAGAGGGCGGGCGAACAGACGAAGCGTTATCAGGCGGTGGCGAAGGAGGCTCAAGTGATAGCTCCGCTGAACGACTTGCAAGTACGTAGGATTGCTAGGGCGCCCCTTTTCAATTACCTATCCCTTTATCTCGCCTCTTGTTTGCGAGCCTCGAGCGAAACTACGAGCCACTCGTGCACCGCGAGCGACGGAACGACGAATAGCAGATAGGCAGTAATCCTATCAGTCGAATTGGAACTGCGACGAGAGCTATACTCGGGCGTGAAACTGTCAAGGCAGCAATCTCTTAGTTTCTAAGTTTCCTGTACACTCGGTTCGGATTTGTAGATTTATATTGTCAGCCTGATGAAACGACAGGACACTTGCGGGCATATTCTTTCTATCGTTGCTTTTCAGGGATGGGAATAACTACGAGGGCAGGTGGACTTGTAGTTTTAAAGGAACTTACTTTTTAGAAAGCGCGGATCGTTACTCTACGTTATAAATTATTTATGAAGTAACGGGGCGATGGAATTCATTGTCGAGATTTTCGGCTGACGTGTTTCGATAGGAAAAAATTCGGCAAGATGCAAAATGGGGAAGGGGAAAAAATGTGATTATAAGAAGAATCCTTTGACACTAGAACTATAAAATTTCCATCAGAGTCGTCGAAGGAAAAGAAAATGGAGAAGCTTTATAATATTATAGGAGTGTACAAGTTTCTTCATATATTTTATGAAAAATTATAAATTGGTCATTTTGATCACTTTGGTAGTTCTAGTGATAATTCTAGATTCGCCTAAGTTAAAAATGGAACAATTCTGAGCTGTGCTACAGAAACAGAGAAAAGATTCGATGGCCACCCTACTGTAAACGTAGTTTCGAGCTAAAGTCGATGAAGTTATTGTTCCATCCTAAACCATTTAAGCGAGAATCTTGTCTTTTTCAGATTTTGGCGCGAAGCTTGTTAGCCACCGCGACCCCGTCGAAGAAGCCCTCGAGACGGCTGTTCGTGGCGCCAGGCCCCCCGGAGCAAGTTCCCATGGAAAGAATTAGCCAAATACCGTCTTTGAGGGACGAAATAGTCCCGACAGGAACCAGTACTCTACCCCTGATGGAAGATTTACGACGGGAGCAGGATAGCCTGGCTCAAGAGATCACGCGGCTCCAAGACGCCTTGGACACGTTGATCCGCATGCAACGAAAGTGCGTTATATCCCATCTCGAGCCGGATGAAATATTTACGAGTTAACAGAGCATTCCGCGATCGTGGTGACCCGAATAGATATTAGATTGTCAATGAATTATAAGGGACAGTGGGGCCCCAATTTTGGAGTATCAGATGTCAAACGAAAATGCATCGACCTTTCGACCCCAAGTGGAGAATTTATAATTCAGTACAGTCCTTTCTCGAGTCCCGTGAACCTGGTGGCACGAATGGATACTCGTGAAATTACCGTGGATAAAGATATCTCTAAAACGTGTTAGGTGTAGGTTCTTCATTTAGAATTTGGTAAAGGTAATTGCGCCAGTGTTGGCTCCGCGAACCCAGACTCGATCGATAAAGAAGAAATATGGGCCTGCAGAGAGAAACGATCAAGTTCCGGGCAAAAAAAATTCCTCTAAGTAATTAGCCGTTGTTCCGCTTTTCGCTGGCTTTTTGGTTCAATTTATGGTTACCTTTTGGAGGTAAACACGTTAGCAAAGGGGCACAGGGTTCTCAGGAGCTGCCGCCCGGTACTTCCAGCCTCCCGACAGTACTCAACACGCGCGCTATTTAATCTCTGAAGCGCGAATCGCTAAACGATCCCTTCCTTCTCTGATTTCAGGAGCGCCGAGAGCAACCTTTACACGAAAGTGGCCGAGCTGCAGGAGGATATATCTATGAAGCGTTTCGAGCTCGGCGAGGCGCAGCTGTACCTCGCAGCTGTGCAAGCACAGGTACTTCGATTGATAATTGTTCATTCGCAAACAGCCTATCAAACGCGAACAATGCCCGACAGCTCTGTTCGGAGTTGGGAGTTTTAACCAACAGATTCACTCTCGAGTGAAAGGGAGAACGCATTAGGGAAGTTTAATTAATTCCAGAGCGTGAAAAGCATCGGGCGTTAAAAAATATGTAATATCTTTCGTCGACGAGTGAAGTAGCGTCAAGTGTTTTGAAACTCGTGAGAGAGAATTGGCAAAACTTGCTTCACCCTCTTTGAGGAACCTCAGTCCACGCCTTCATAATTTCAACTTTCTCAGTAACTTCTTTCCCCCCCCCCCTCCCCTGTTTTCTCCGTTTCTTTCCTTCTTTTTTCGTTTTTTAAATGAACTTTCGCAGAGATCGATAGCAAAGAGAACGATCATCGAGATGTTCGCTCGCAAATTGGTACCCTGTCAATGCTACCAACGTTAAGTTCTCTGAACGGGAAGGAGAAAAACGAAAAGTTTCGCGTGCTCAAAGTTTTAAAAACTTGTTACTTCCACGACGGATTTCGGGTCGTTTGTTTAGGAATGTATAGGAAACAAGCGTGACAAGCGTCGCCGGCAAGTTTTTTCATTCACGACGGAGAAGTTTCTGGCTTTCTGATATCAGAGAGAAAACCAGATACGCGTACGCACGCGTGAGTAGAGAAATCGTTTGACCACCCCAAGATTGGATTCGCGACGGATCCCCGAGGGAAGACGTATCTCGCAGAGAAGAAAAATTACCGATTTTACACCAATGCTGTTTCTTTGTTCCCATTCAAACTTTGGTACTCATGTTTGGTCTCATGTATACATACATTAGCATAGGAAATTTTCGAGCATCTTATTTTACTAGCAATATCAACTAACAATATTTTTCTCGCCAAAAGCGCAAGTATCTGGAAAATTCCCTATTTAATATTGTGTTTATCGAGGAGCCATATATCATAATTGGCTTTATATCATAATTAGGTAAGAAAATCGAATACCAAGTGCATCAAGTATCTAAGTACCTAGAAAATTCGTACTAACAGTATTTTAAATATTTCTTTCACCGAAAGTCTAAGTCTTTATTTAATATTGTACCTATGAACTACTTAAAAAGTTCTGCTTCATCAGCTAGGGAAATTAAATACCAAATATCTGGTACATCGAGCGCCCAAAATTCTTATCTGATTAAATTACATAATTTAGTAGAGTATCTTTGTACTAACAACACTACACGTGAACCTGAATATGTTCTTCTATCAAAAGTATCGAGAAAATTTCCTGTCAAACTCCATCTAATATTGTGTCTATAAATCATTTGAGAAGCCACAGCTCTGCTAGGGAAATCAAATGCCAAGTGTCCAGTACATCAAGTGCCCAATTCTTATTTACCTAAATTACGTAATTAAACAAATAAATCTGTACTAACAATACTACACATGAACCTAAATATTTGTCATCAAAAGTACAAGTACCGAGTGAAACTCTATATAACATTGTGTCTGTAAATCATTTGAGAAGCCACAGCTCTGTTAGGAAAATCAAATGCCAAGTGTCCAGTACATCAAGTGCCCAAAATTCTTATTTACCTAAATTACATAATTAAACAAGTAAATCTGTACTAACAATACTACACATGAACCTAAATATTTGTCATCAAAAGTACAAGTACCGAGTGAAACTCTATATAACATTGTGTCTGTAAATCATTTGAGAAGCCACAGCTGTATTAGGAAAATCAAATGCCAAGTGCCTGGTGCATCAAGCAGTTGAAGTAGCTAGAAAATTCTTCGAGCGATCCGGAGAAGAGTACTCGACGAGAATCATCCGGCGTGAATTCGAAACGGCGAGCAATTTGTCATCATCGGCCAGCGAAGAAGCTGGTATCGCAAATCAACTGTCAGCAGAAAGCATTATCCTCATCAGCAATCCGACCACTTAACCAGCGCCAGTCGAGTGGACGAGAACGACAAAGGGGAAAGGAATCCGTGACACTTTTGGTATCAGGGCTCAGACACAGAGACAGCAGCCCCAATCGAAGAAGTCTCGCCGTGACAAAGGAACGTGTCGATCTCGACCACGCGA